ACACCAACTTTTTAACTTGTGACTGACTTCTAACAGCAATCTGCTGGATCTCTGCTTCCTGAGTAGCAGGGATTATAGACATGAGCCACTGCACTATGCTGAGGTAGTTTCATATAAAGTAATATAGAAAGATATTTAAGATACTCTTTTACTGAAAATAAGATAAGGGGAAATATGTGTAGCCTACTATCTACTGCTTTTTTGAGGCAGGATCTCACTTTTTAGCCTAGGTTGGCATTGAACTTATCATGTAGCTCAGGCTGGCCTGGCAGTCAATTCTCCTGCCATTTCTTCCAGGTGCTGAAATTACAAGTGTATACCATCACACCCAGCTGTATGGGTGTTTGTTTGGTTTTTTTAAAATCTGTGTGTGCTAGACTATCTCTTGAACGTGTAATAAATTAGTAACAATGGTTGGATAGAGGCCGGGTGGACTTGGGAAGAAGGAGGGCAGGGTTGAGAGGAACAAGTAAATACACTAATTTTTACTGTATTTTCATATCTTTCATGAGAAAGGATAAGGCATTTTTTAAAAATAAGTAATATAAAATATTTTATATACTTAAGAATTTTGAAGCTGGGTGCTGGTAGCTTGCACCTGCAGTCCTAGCTACTCAGGATCTGAGATCTGAGGATCATGGTTCAAAGCCAGCCTGGGCAGAAAAGTTTGTGAGACTCTTATCTTCTACTCAGAAAAAGCTGGAAGTAGCTCCATGGCCCAAGTGGTAGAGCCATGAGCAAAAGAAGCTTAGAGACATAGCCCAGGCCCTGAGTTCAAGCCCTAGGACTGGCAAAAAGAAAAAGAAAAAAGAATTCTGAAGCTAGACACAGAGGAGGGTGCTCTTTGTTCCCTGAGCATAGACTAAATACCAAGGTGAAGGATGTGTATGAGCCTGGAGCCTGGAGAATCTTGATCTGGTTCCTGAGACATATGTGCTTATGGAATCCTGGTCTTCCATCATAAAAAAAATGCTAGCGTTTCCCCAAGGCCTACTTTCTTTCTGTGGTAGAGGTATGGCCATTCAGCAAGTAGACATTTGCTGAGGAAGATGTGTAAACAATCCCTGGCAGACATGGAAATATGGAGACAGGGAGAGAGCTGCTCTAGAGCTGGACAACAACCCCACACCTCCTTTTCTGTGACCATCTGACATGCCCCGTCTTCTTCTTGCTTCTGGGAGATTCTTGCACCCTTACCGTGCCCTCCCCCAGCCCAGTCCTTAAGCAGAGGACCCCTCTGGCATCTGCTGCTCAGATACCTCATCTGCCTCCTAGAATCTGGGTGCAATCCCCTGAGGCACCCAGCAAACCAGCCATTGTCTCCACCTGTCTGACCCAGAGCTGCTCTTCTTGCAACCTGAAGGCTATCAGGTGTTTCCTTGGTCCCTGCTCCTCCTTGAGTGAGTGTCAGATGTCCTTCCTGGAGCCCTCCTGTCCCTGAGTCAGATGGATGGCCTATTTCCTAGATTCTAAGTCTCGCTTCTCATTTAACCCTCAAGTCCTGTGAATGGTGATAATAGCATTGGTGGTGACTGTAATCTTGCTTACCTTTGAGGAGTCTCTGTCCATCTATCTTCAAATCACAACTGTCATTTAATCCTCACAGTAGACCTGCAGGGCAGATCTGATCTCCAGCTTTCAAGTAAGTAAAATATTTGTACAAAGATTGTTTTTCCAAGCTTTTCGCCGGTGGCTCATGCCTCTAATCCTAATTACTTAGTGGGGCTGAGAACAGGAAGATTGTGGTTGGAGGGCAAGCCCAGGCAGAAAAGTGTGGAAGACTCCTCAATCTATTCTGTGCCTCTCAGCCTAGCTTTGTGGGAGGTTGAGATTGAGAGTATCATGGCCAGCCCTAGGCAGAAGAGCTTGCAAGACTCTGTCTCAGCAGCAGTTGGGGTAGTGGTGTACCCCTGTGATCCCAGCCACAAGAAGCAAAAGAAAAAAGAAAAAAAAAAGAACTCAATCTAGGCATATACCTGGCCAGGAAGCAAAAGCCTTTCTCTAACCACTTCAGGATTGAGGGCCTTGTGCAGATTGTAGAGCGCCTGCCTGCCTACTAAGCACATGGTCCTGGTGCCACCAAAAAAATTAATGATAATAACCAGTGCAAAAAGAGCCAGAGGTATAGCTCAGCAGAGGAGTTTCTGCAAACATAAGGCTCTGAGTTCAAACCCCTGGAATGCCAGGAAGGGAAAAAATCCATTTTCCAAGTACTTTCTTTTTTTTTTTAACTAAGTTTTTTATTGTGAAAATACTGTACAAAGGGGTTACAGTTACATGAGCAAGGTAATGAGTTCATTTCTTATCCAGCATTGTTTTCCCCTACCATCCCTTTCCTCCCACCTCCTCAGCTACACCCTCCACCCCCCACCCCTCCAAGTACTTTCTTAGACATTATTTAATTGCAGTCTCTGACATCCTTATATAAGCCAGAAGGTTCATTGACTTACATATACTAACAAGGGTATTGAAGAGCCAGCTGAGAAGTAGTGGCCTTGGGGAAAGGTCATATATGGTTGAATCCTGTCTTAGTGGATTCTTTATACCTAACTCCTCAGCTGTAAAATGGGAATGATAGCATCCATATCATCTATACAGCTGTTAGGATAATAACAATATTAAATGACTATGGTTCAGAGTAACTTTATGAATTCACAGTGTAATGATTTCCTATTCTGTGACCCGTTCTGTCATTTTTTTAAAAAAACAAAATTTGTTTTGGAAATGTTTCACAAAAGAGAAGATAATGTAATGAGGGTAGTGTACCCATCAACTATCCAGTGAAGGCCAGCTGTACGCCTTTCCCTTACTAAGCAGCTTTCAAACTAGTGAGGTAGCTACCTAACATCCTTCAAAGAAGACTAATGGGGGTTCATAGATTTAGAGGGCTTCGTTCTAGTTCAGTCTGTCACAGTTATTATACTTAACTGTTATTTGCCTTGACCAGGAACTGTTTCAGCTTGGCTTCTGAGTCCTCCTGGCATGTCTTTGCTGTTTTGGTTTGAGATGTACTAGGCTCATGTTGTATAGGATCAAGTGCTGCTTCAAATTTGGAATCAGCCACTTGTCCAAATGTGCTGGGATGTGTCCAGATGTGCTGTGGTGGTCGTTGTGTCTAATCTGGAAAGCAGTTAGGAGATGGGTGTGTGCACATAAACGTGTGTAGTTTAAATGTGAAGTTCACACAGATGCATCCAGTTCGTATCAAGACTTCAGAATCTTTACCTAGTTCATCAATCCTGTCTCTGTGTCTCAATCAGAAAATCTCAGCAACGGGGCTGGGAAGGTGGCTCAGTGGTAGAGCGCTTGCCTTGCATGCCTGAGGCCCTGGGTTCGATTCCCCAGCACCACATAAGCAAAAAGAAAAAAGCCAGAAGTGACGCTGTGGCTCAAGTGGTAGAGCGCTAGCCTTGAGCTGAAGAGCTGAGGGACAGCGCCCAGGCCCAGAGTTCAGGCCCCATGACCAGACCCCCCCCCCAAAAAAAAGAAAAGAAAATCTCAGCAACATTATGATTCATTCATCTCACAATGAACATATAAAAGTCCTAGGTTAATAATGATATAATGCAATAGTGCCCTCAATAATATATTATTGGGAACAGTTCAGCATTTCTTGGAGGGGACTAGTACCCTTCAAAATCAAACTATACTTTTTCCTATCTTTTTTTTTGTTGTTGTTGGTTGTTGCTAGAGCTGGAGCTTGAACTCAGGCCCTGAACTCAGAGCCTAGGCACTGTCCATGAGATTTTTTTTTTTTTTCTCAAGGCTGGTGCTTTACCACTTTGAGCTACAGCTCTACCTTTAGCTTTTTGTGATTAATTGGAGATAAGAGTTTCCCAGCCTTGCCTACCTAGGTTGGCTTCAAACTGTGATCTTCAGATCTCGGCTTTACAGAGTATCTAGGATTATAGGTGTTTGGCACCTGGCTCTATCACTTTGTTTTAATTTAGTAAGCCTGGAGATCACAGCACAGATAGATAGGATAGAGATAGGATTGTGGTTTGAGGCCAGCAGGGAAAAAAGGTAAGATCCTGTCTCAAGAACAAGTTAGTAATGGTGGCATAAGCCTGTGTACCCAGCTAATTGTGAGGCAGAGATAGGAGGATTTCTGTCCAAGGCTGGCCTAGGCAAAAAACCCTATCTGAAAAACAAAGTAAAATCCAAGCTTCCAGATCTGGGGACAAGCTTAGCAAGCATAAGGGCCTATGTTCAAGCTCCAAAACTAGCCCCCCCCCCCCGCCAAAAAAAAAAGAGTGAAAGAAAAAAGTGTATTTACACTTATTTTGATAAATATAGACATACTCCCCTCACTAAGGTGAATATTACTGTTTCCGGCAGAAACCCTGTAATGTAAAGCTTATAATTAAGTAAGATCTACTATCTGTACTGAGAAAGATTGATTGCTCCAAATAACTGGCAATGGAGCTTGAACATTTCAGATGCTAGCCCACCTCCATTAGTCTAACTGGCCCATTCTGCCGTTCTACAGATACAGAAGCTGAGACACACATAAGCAAGTGACCCACTCCCAATGACAAAACAAGCTCAAACTTAAAATAAAGTTAAGTCTCCCTTCAGTGTGTTATGGATTTATTTTATGGCAAACTTGGTTTGCTGATCTCCTAAGGAAGTTATGAAATTAATGAGATAATTATGGGTAAATTCTCCCATGGGTAGAGGAGAGATTCTTTGAGATTCAGCTTAACTCCTTCAGGGGAAATTAGACTGGAGCTTCAGGGCACTAAGAAATGGTTTAAGGATAAATGAAACATCACAGACCCCGCCCCAAAGATCAACACATTGAAGCGGCTTGCAGATGCTCTGAGCTTTAGACAAAGATGCTGTTTTGCTATGCAAAGCGACATCTACAAATAAGATGTGAACGAAAATGGAATTTCCCTGGTGAGCAAACCAGCTGCAAACCACACAGCCTTCTCCCCCGCCTTTTCCTAGAGTAACCCTGGGGTTCTCCTTTGTGCTTGCTTTTTGACAGGTTGATTGACTTATGTGCAGTTTGGGACACTGGAGTTGTCCTTCCCTGTGCAGACTGGAGTGCAGCCTCCATTGGTGTCTCGAGGAGAAGGCTGAATGAGGCAGAGGGGGTGAGTAGAGCTCGGGCATGAGATGAAGGTTGGGGGCAGGGTGGACCTTGGTGTCCCCTGACCTTTCTGTTTGATTTGAGATGGCTTTTTGTCTCTCTTTGCCTCCAAAGTCTTCCAGGGTTGTTTTCCTCCTTCCTTCTTCCCAGATAGCCTTGGTTCTGCTGCAGAGCCATATCCCAAGCCCACCCTGCCAGGAGGCTAGTGACTCCTTCTTCCCCAGCAGGTTCAATCAGTCAGCATTAGTGACGCCATTGTCCCCACTGTCCACCTTAATTGAAGAGCTGAGAAACAGCTTTGTTAGTGTCCCACAGCCTGGACCTGCATAGCCTGGGATCCTCCTGAGTGACAACCCTGGCATATGGGGGGCAGTCCACAAGCCCCTCCTCTCAGTGGGTCCTGGGCCCTGACAGATGAATGCAGTGAGCAGTGAGGCCCGCAGAACCGCAGCCACACCCTGTGTGCAAGTCTGCATTGTTCCATGTGGGTTATTATTTCCATTGCCTTGCAGCTCCTGCTGCGTGCAGGCAGGGTGGAGGGGTGGCACCCGAAATGGCAAGAGCTGCCATTCTCCCATAGCCACTGGCTATGGACCACACAGGCTGGTCCCAGGCAGGCTGCTGGGCTGCTCAGTCCAACCTGAATGTCTGGGCAGAGAAAGGTGTGGTGTTCTATGGATGGACTTCTTTGCTCCCTGGCAGTGTGTCTTGCTGCAGCTTCCTCTCCAGAAAGAGTTGGTAATGAAGCTGAGGAGGGAGGAGGTGGACAGAGAAGGCAGAGTGGGCTGATGATGTGGTTTGGAAATCTGGACAGTCCTGAGGAGCCACACTGGATCTTGGTTTCCTGGTTTAGACAGGAGTCAACATCTTATTGTAGAGATCAAAATGGAGAGTAGATGTCTGAAAAGCCTTGCCTGGTGCCTGGCATATAGTAGGTAAATCAAGGTTATCATTTTTCATAGCAGTAGCAGCACAGATATACTTGTACCAAGTAGTCTCTGTGTGGACCTTGAAAGGGCTATGGCTTGTCACACAGGTTTTAGGGAACATTTGATAGACTGCAAGCCTTCTCAAACTAAAACTTTTGTACCTGAGCTTACTACCTGACCATGAGGGGGGATGGCATGCTGTTTGCTTTACTGTCCATGGAAGACTCCAGTCACAGAAGCGGTTCACAGGTAGATTTAAATCAGCACACAAAACTGTGGGGTCTAGATTCCAGGTATGTGACGGAATCAGGAAGCTGTTAGTCCAGCGTTGTGTCACCTAGGCCCCTCTCTGGTCATTGTTCATGTACCTTCTCTCTATTTCTGTCCCTGAAAGTCCCCTCATGACCTCTGGGGCACACATGTGCTGGGTTGTTCAGCCAGCCCTCCAGCCCACAGAGGAGTCCCATCCACAGTTGGTCTAGCCAGCAGTCCTGAGTGTTAGCCAGACTCTCCTCGTGTGCCCTGTAGGTTCATTGTGCTTGACTGACTCTCCCTACAGTTCCTTGATAAGGCAGGGCTGGCACAGGCATTCTTATTTGTAAGCTGAAGCTGCCAACCTACAGTTTACAGTTAACTAATTAGTGGAAGAATCCCAACAAGAAAGCCAAAGTCTGAATGGAAGGCAGTCTCTCCTGCTGTGACGTCACACTGCCCCCTCCAGACTGAGGTATCTGGACACTGTGAAGGTGGATCCTCTAGCGGAGACTGTCAGCCCCAGAGAAACCTAGAAAAGGAGAGTGTAAGCAGGGGCATATGCTTAGCTATTGAGGGAGTTCCCAGAAAAAACTAATCTAGTCCTTAGTGGGGACACTCATCATCTCAGTGTTACCCAGGCACCAGGCACTGATTTGTAACCACTGTGTGACCCTTTTCACAGCAACCCTATGTAGGGCCCCATATCACCCCCATTTCACTGAGAACAGAAGCCCACAGAGGCTGAGCCCTTGCCCCAAACTCCCATCTTAGAAAGTGACGGGGCCTGCATTCGAATCCCAGCACTACAGCGTTGACCCTTTGGATTGGGAGCTGCAGTGTGTTTTTAGGATGTTTTTTTCCAAGTTTTATCCGAACATTACATAAAGTTTCTGAGCCCATCTCCACCGGGTTCCAGGTATGAATTTGCCTTGTTAGGTCCAGCTGGGGATGCCGCTCCATCTGGGAAGCCTGGGATGGAGGGAGCCACCATTTCTCCATTTCTGCCTTTGTTCCTGGCCCTGGCCATCTGGAGTTGCCCCAGGCATCTGCTCCCGAGCCTCACCACCCCTCCCTGTCCCTCCCACCCAGGATGGGGCACCTTTCTGCACTTGGACTCCACCCCCAGCCCCGCCCCCACCCCCCAGGGCCTCAGCTCTTTGTCAGCTCAGGTCGCTGGGAGCAGACACCTGTCCTCTGAAGCACGGACAGGAAACCTTCAATTTCCCAAATGGGTCCATTTGGTTAATTGCACTCATACTCCTTAAGCACCTCTGCCTGTCAGTGAGAAGCTGGGCCTCTTCTCTCCAGAAGCAGCACCACAGGCCACAGCAGATACACAGTGCAGGCTTAGGACAGACTGCTGCATGTCCATGGCAGCTGGGCTGTGGCACTCATTATGGACTGTCTCTGGCTTCCCTATTTCTCTGCCCTCAAATTGATTTTCTCTCACAGAGGCAGCACCTACCTTTAGCCATCTTGTCCTGTGGGATCAGCAGGGCAGGCACAGGGATGTGTTAGCAGTGGAGAAAGCTGGTCCCCTCAGGAGCTCCCAATGTCCAGCTCCTCCTGATGAAGGGATGCTTTCTCTGCCCTTTCTGCCGACCCATTCCCTTGAGGAGGGTGGGAGTGGAGGCTGGGCTGTTAGGCTTAACACAGTATGTCACCCTGAGTTCATGTTTCTAATCAGAGGACCAAATATGGCAAAGCAAAGCCCTTAAGGACATGAAGCCCAACCTCTGTGTATACCATGGTGCCCATGTCTAGACACCCAGCCACCAGTACTTGGCGACCCGACTTCTAGACAAATGGTACATGTTAAAACTCAGCAAAAAGCCCACCCTGTCTGTTTCCTCCCCAGCACTCTCCCCACTCCCTTTTAGTGCCTCCTGCAGCCTATAGAAGCAGCCGGCCTGCCTGACAACAGTTGGATGCTGACTGCTGTCTGTATGGCATGTAAATGAAGAAGGCATTTACAGAGGGAGATGGGAGAGGGAAGGAGGGACAGATGCCATCCCCTCCTGCTGCCTCCCTCCTTTCCCCACTTGTTATGGCCGACAGGAATTTTAAAAATGCACAGGGGTTCTGTGTTCCTTGGACTGGCAGCAGCTAGCAGCTATAGACACTTCATAACTAACCCAGCGAGATGAGGGGATGGAGGGCTCTGGAGGAGTGTGTGGAGCAGGAGAGAGGGAGCCCAGAGGTGCTACGCCTGCTCTGGGATCCTGCAGGTACCCCTCTTTCTCTCTGGCCAAAGTACAGTGCTTAGGTAGATAACCTTATATTGGCTCTAAGATAAACAGTTTCTTGGCATGAGGCCACTGCTTGGCTACCTGCACAGGTGTTGTCTGCTTTAGAGACCTTTGGAAACCCTGCTTTACCCAAAGTCATGCAGCAGAGTAGTTCACCAGTTGTAGTTACGGGAGAAAGGCCCAGTAGATTTTGAATGCCAGGTATGTGTGTGCCTGGCCATGGGCTATATGAACCCATGAATCCATTGAACAACTACCACAGCAGCGTTGCCATGAAGAAGTCTATTTTTTACATTCTTAAAGACCAAAAAACTATAGCTGTGACAGTAAACACATGGCTGGATGGGTCTGTGGCCATACTCACCCTTCATGTGCTAGGGGAATTACATGTCATTACATATAACTGAATCTCTGAGTTCAGAGATCACGTCTGGTGTGGTTCCCCTGATCCGAATGGTGTCCCAGGTGGCTCATAGTCCACCAGGACTTAGGAAATCCTGACCTGTACCACCCTTCACCCCTGACACATTCTTACTGAGGGGCTGGAACAAAGGGGACAGCATCCCTTGCCTCATTAGTCTCATAATGAGATTTCAGGCCTGAGGTCACCTCTTTCTCCTACTCCACGTTCTCCTACAGTCTCACTTCTTTTTCTTCTCCACCATTGTCAGCCTGTAGTTTCAGAATGCGATATGTCCAAACCAGGCTTGGAATCCCCCTAATAGGGGAGGAATGAATAGCTTACGCTGAGGGATATCCTGTGCAGAAGTATCTAGATGGATACGTCCTCAGGTGGACCATAGTAAGGACTCCAAATTGACACTTGGGGACTCACAATGCTGGACATGGGTGGCTGGACAGGCTGCCACCCATGGAAGAGAGAGAGAGACAGAGATAGTGAGACAGGGAGACAGACACAGAGAGAGAGAGAGAGAGAGAGACAGACAGACAGACAAAGACACAGAGACACAGAGAGAAGGGTTGGCTATTCTAGAGCCAATTTCCTTCTGTATTTTATAACTTACAATGAGATAGCAACTAGATTATTAATGACATGTCATGACACAAGAACTAAACCCTAAGTCTTTTATTCTTTTCTTTTTTTTTCTTTTTTTGTTGGTCCTGGGGCTTTAACTCTGGGCCTTGGCACTGTCCCTCAGCTCTTCAGCTCAAGGCTAGTGCTCTACCACTTGAGCCACAATACCACTTCTGGTTTTCTGGTGGTTAATTGGAGATAAGAGTCTCAACGACTTTCCTTGCCCAGGCTGGCTTTGAACTGTGATCCTCAGATCTCAGTCTCCTGAGTAATAGGATTACAGGCGTGAGCCTTCAGCACCCAGCCTTATTCTTTACTTTTAAACTAACCAATATCAATGTATTAGAGTTAACAAATCTTGGGCTGGGACTGTGGCTTAGTGGTAGAGTGCTTGCCTAGCATGCATGAAATCCTGGGTTCAATTCCTCAGTACCACATAAACAGAAAAAGCTAGAAGTATCACTGTGACTCAAGAGTGCTAGCCTTGAGCAAAAGAAGCTCAGGGACAATGCCCAAGCCCTGAGTTCAAGCCCCA